AAAATCTTTGAAAAAAAAAAAAAAGAAAGAAGCCTGTGAATGAGGATATAGGGATAAAACAGAATTCTGACATATTGTAAAAATTGCCTTTGGATTTGGAAGCCATAGAAAAATAAAATTTCTTCACTTACAATCTCCAGTCTATTTTTCATGTTTCTTTTATTTAAGCTGCATTGGGACAGGGCATTAAAATTGTCCACACGAGGAATTACTTCTAGAAAACAGCCGAGGCACACAGACATTACATATTCCGTCTTTGACATGAACATGTAGGATCTCAACTAAAACAGACCCACTGTTACTGTTATCCAAGTGCTTACACAGCTCGATGCAGTCTCAGAGAAGCCACACTAATTTTAGTTCCTCTAATGGCTGGGTATTTACATCCTCAAACCCTTTACCCCCACAGCTATCTTTATTCTGTAGCACCTGTCTCTTTCTGGCTTGCACTTTCTTTTGCATAGTAAACATTCTCAGGATATCTAGTTTTCTATTTTCATATGTTTTTCCTCTCAGTGGTCTGCTGTTGAGATCTGTGTCACCCTGGAAGAAAAAAAAGAGAGAGGGTGAGAAAATCCTTGTGGACCAGAGCTGGGAGTTCTGACATCTTTGCCTCCTTCTTGCTAGAGAGACAGTGTCCCCGAGATGCCTGGGTTGCAGCTGCGCAGGCTTCTTTCCTCATAATGGACACCATTATTGGGTCATAGCTGGTTCATTTTCTGTGAGGTTGTGAAGGTTAGAGACACCTTTGGGCCCGGGGTGCCTAACTGGGCCTGGACACCATACAGGCCATTGAGAGAGTTGGAGTGCAGTCCCCTGGGATACAGTGCTCACCACGAGCCTGCCTGTGGTGTCTCATGAGGGACCCACAGCCTTGTTTTGCCATTGTGCTATGTCTTCCCAAGAAAGAAAAGCTACTGCTCATCACATCCCACACATGGATTTAAAAATTTAGCAAGATTTCCTTAGGGAAATTATGGAATACTTGTACCCAATGGGGCCCTTCACAGCCTCACGCATGCCTGTCCTGCTAGCTTCGTCTCCTGCCACATCCAGCACTCTCCCCTCTTCTGAGCTCTTCTTCCCTAGTCACACTGTTCCCTTTATGCATCTGACCGCTGCACTTTGGCATATGTTGGGTCTTCTATCTGGAATTCCTTTCTTCTCTATCTGGTGAGGGATCAATTTTACTTACTCTTTTTAATTTCCATTAAAAACTTTACTTAATATCAGAAACAAACACTTTTATAAAATACTTTAATCATGCATTTGGATGTCATGACAGTATCAACTGCTGTAAAAATGTCTATAAACTTCCTCTCAGTTTCTGTATTTTTGTTGTCTCGGGCAGGTAACAAACGGGCCACTCATTGAGTGGCACTGCCTTAGACTTTTCTTAGACTTTTTCCGCCATGGACTGCTCTACCCAGCCACCTCAGTTTAAACCAGTCACTTCTCCCCTGTGATCCTCCCAGGTGAGATGCAAACAGAGCATCACAGAATGTTCACTCACAGCCTTGTGGTGATGTGTGCTGCTATCTCTTCACCAGTTTCTGAGCTCCACTAGGGAAGATGTTCTTTCTTATTCATTATTCATCTCTGCATCTCAGAGTCCAGGCCTAGTCCATGTTCAGAGCTTGGTCAATATTTGTGGGGCTGAATATAAAGCCACTTTGGAAAACTAAACTCTTGTGGGGTCTTGGATCAGATGCTTAAGACATCTCATGGCTACTCATGGCATACCTAGCCTTGTGACCAGCAAGCGGAAATGGGATAAAAGAGCTTCATCGCCTCTGGGTGCTGTTGGCAGGACGGTGGCCTTGTGGTGTGGAGACAGAGCTGTTGGACCAAGAACAGCACCCCAGGAATAAATAGTCACCAAGCCAGGGCAGAGGATCGATTTCACAAGATGGCTAATCCTGGAGGCTGAGATTTAGTAGGTGGAAGGACTGAAATACCTCCTGAGTCTGGGTGGTACAGGGAACCTGCTGACTAACCCCTGCCAAGGTGAGAGTTCAACAGAAGAGACCCCTTGCAGGTTTTTGCTCCAAGAGGAGATGGTTATACATTAATTGTAGTATTCATCCAAAGGCAAGCCTCTGGTTTCCTTAACTTCTTGAGCTAACCATTATTTAAGACTTAGAGAATAAAGAAAAAGATTATCTCCTATCTTTTGTTTCCTCCCTAAGCAAATGGTAAGAAAAGGCTCAGCTTGAATTCAAAGGTCAGTGGGGTTATCACTTTGGACTAAAACCCAAACTGACCCAGTACTGAAAGAGAGCTGTGAGTGGGGAACCTTACCCTCACTGGGGGGGCTGATCCATCAGGATGTTTGAACACAAGGCCAGAAGAAAATTCCCATAATCCATGGAGGTTGGACCATCGGTACACTGAGACTTCAGCCCCATCCCCTCCCAACCTAAACCAAGTCCTTGATCTTGAGTTGTCCTGCTTAATCCTAAACAGAGGGCAGCCTTATTCATCTCTGCAGTAATTAAAATAAAAGACAGTTTGCCTTTCCATAGCACAAGGTTTGTATGACCATGAGCAAGTCACTGAACTTCTCTGAGCTCACTTTCCTCACCGGACAAATGGAGATATTTATATATCTCCTTACCATAGGATAAAGAAGATAGTGAAAGACATTACCATGTGCCTAGTTCTGGTAAAAGGAGGAACCTCTGTTCCCTGGCTCTGCCTTTCTGTAAGGGGAGATTTCTGCTACAGCGTTGGTTCTAACACACCTGATCGTACATCTGGTCACCATAGGGCTGGTCAAACCACAGATGCTGGACCCACCTCTGATTCAGTAGGTCTGGAGTGAAACATAAGAATTGGCATTTCTAACAATTTCCCAAGTGATGCTGATATTGCTGCTGGTCAAAAAGACCGCATTTTGGGGTAACCACTGCTCTGGAATAATGTTCTTCACCTCTCTCCTGATCTTTCCCTTGCTCCACTCACGGGAAGAAGAGTGGTTTATCCTGTGTTTGGAAGCAGGAACCAGTAAGGAAGGGATAAACCCCATCTGGTCTCTCCTTTTGGATCTGCCTGTAGGTTTGATGAGTTCTGGTCATCCCTCCCCTTGGAGTAGGGGTTGCTCCTTATGATGCAGGGCTGTGGTGGTTCAGTTCTGCAGGTCCCTTAAATTGTGGGGTGAAATACAAGGATGACCAGGTTTGATACCCACTAAATTCTTAATCTAGAATTATAACAAAACTAGCATTTTAACTTTTATATATTTGTTTCCTCTATTTTTTTTCTCAGTTGATTCTGAATTAAAGAAAATAGGAAAGGACTATTTTATATTGTCCCCTATGGGACAGTGCTCAGAAAAGGTAGCTGCAAGTAATTATTATTAATGTAAGAAGTCTAAATTCAACCAGTATTGATGAAATCCTCAGGAATGGGGATGTGGGGATGTGAAAGATGAATACACACCGGCTGTAAGCTTGCAAATGTCCCGTGGTTCTCCAGTGAGAACAAGCATTAGCACCTGTCTGCCACGCCTAATGTCAAGTGGCATCAGGCTTGGAACCTGCCTTCAGAAAGCTTCCACCCAGATGGGGGAGCATCATGACCCCTAGCATCTGTGTTACAGGTGGACAGCACCATGCCAGAGGGCTTCAGGAATGCAGAGAGGGAGTGTTGCTGCTGAAGGGACCGGGGAGCTTTGGAATTGCATGAGATCAGGGCATGGCACACAGGAAGCATCGAAGTCAGAAGGAGCAAAGCAGGAGCAGGGAAGGGAAACTTGGAGCATGGGCATGGAGAGTGGAGTCCATACCTACTGGCTGTGGGCTGGAACGTGGAGAACCTCACTCCTCAGAAAGGGTTTTGGTGGAGCCTGTCTTGGACACCTGGATGATCTCCACAGAGGTGATGCCTTTGCCAGCCACGCGGTGTCTGGTGCGCAGCTTGTTCAGGGCGGTCTCTGCCATGCCGGCCCGCTCCTCAGCATCATCCAGCTCGTGCACCGTCTTTCTGTAGCGAGCCAAGGTCTGGTTGGCTTGCTCCTCCTGTGACAAAGGCATGGTGGAAAACAGGGTGTAAACCTGGCTGCTTCGGCTTAAATGTGCATCATTATCAGTTCTACACAGACACGTAAGAGTCCAGCCTTTCAATACTTTCAACTGATTCTTTTTTGTCCTTGACATCCGTATCTCTAAATAAAATGTGCTCTGTTTCTGCTTCTGTCATTTGTGGTTTCAGGCCTCAGCTAGTGGTGCCCCACTATGAAAGATGTGGGTTCAGCACTTTCCCTAGCCCCCACCACACATCTCCCATCCCCTTGTCTCCCCAAGAGAGTCAGAGTGCTGCTTTGGTTAGAACCATATTAACTGTCAGCCTGGTCTTTATCGAACCTTTTGGGAAAGGCATTGGTTGTGTGGGTGGCTGATGGATTCGATGTGGTAGCCCCAGGATTGGCAGTGAACAATGGCAGGATCAAATATCTATGTCGAGGTGAGGGTGGAGGGGCGGTTGGTGCCGGTAGGTGGACGTGTGGTATAGGGTTGAGACTTGAAGCCATCCTTAGCTACCCATTTGACTTGGATGTTAACATTTACTAACATAACATAAATATCCCACTCTGGGCTGTTTCCTCACCTGTGAAATAGACTAAGAATATCAGTTTTCCTGCCTTGTGTTGGGAGGATCAAATAAGGGAAGGGTCTTGTGTGTAATAGTATGAGCAGGAAAGAGAAGTTATCCTGGCAGAGGCTGCAAGGGGCGGCAGAAGCAGGACATAAGGCAGCCAAGACCTCCCAGTTTTAGAGCACACCTTGCAGTGGGCACCTTAGTTAGCACGAGTGTTCTTAGGGGATCTTTTCATTTTCTACACGTTCTTATCTTCAGTGCGTAGTGTCCAGTCTGCTTCCAACATGATAGCGAGAATGAAGTGCCATGGACACGAAGCTCTCGGGTTGTCTTTTGGCCAATACCCGATTCCTTCCCTGTGGTTAATTCTAACCAAGTCTTGAGACCTGGGCTGGGAAGGGAGGGCATATTAGGGACACGCAGTGGGCACCTACCGCTTCTTCGATCTGCCGCTTGTAGACCTTCAGCTTGTTCTGCAGCTTCTCCACCAGCTCCTGCATGCGCTGGTTGGTCTTGTGGTCCTCCTCCGTCTGGAAGACCAGCTCTTTGAGGCGGCGCTCATTCTTCCGCAGTGTCTTGACCGTCTCCACGTGCTGTTTCTGCTCACCATCCAGCTCTGTCTCTAGTTCCTTGATCTGAGGGGAGAAGAGAGGGACATGGCTGAGGAAATGCAGTTTTTGAACTTGAGAGCTCAGTGGCCTTGGGTGGGGTTGTCATGGCTGCCATGTCCACTTCCTCCCCAGAGGAGAGCAGGCAAGCCCTGGCCAGGAGGGTCAGGTGGGTTCTGCCTTCCATGTACCTGCTGTGGTTGTCAGATGGGTCCCTTTCCCTGAGCCTCAAGTTTACTCCTCTGGGAAGTGGGGGAGGCAGAGGCTGGACAAGGTGACTGAACCTCCTGGCCCCTCTAGCTCTGACACCCCACAGGTGAAGACTAAGGCTTCTTTTAAGTAAGTAACAAGGGAGGAACAATGTTGGAAACAGACCTCCGTCTCTTCTTGGCGGTGAATCACGTTCTGGGGGAAAGGTGGCAGGAGGAGAAGGAGAGGAGACCTTTGTATAAATAAATTGCAGCTCTTGTCTCAACTTCCTTTTCCTTCCTAGCATCTGAGTAACCCAGTTCCTCATCAAGCGCTGGGCATGGTATTTTTGGGAAAAGGCCCCTGCCCAGCCACGTCTCCCCTGTCTCTCTCCTGGCTTAGCTCAGGGGCGCCCTCACCCTGGCTTCCAGTTTCATGATCGTGCGCTTCCCTCCTTTCAGAGCCAACTGCTCAGCCTCCTCCATCTTGGCCTGCAAGTCTTTGATGGTGATCTCGTAGTTCTTCTTGATTTTCTCCAGGTGCATGCAGTGGTCTTGCTCTTGCCGGAGTTCTTCCGCCATGCGGGCAGCCTGTGGGAGGGGAGAAGAGTGAGGGGCTGGAGCTGGGTTCCTGTGCAGCCTCACAGTGCTTGTGAGAGATGAGGGACCTTGTCTTCTGGTCTCTGGGAGACCAAGTGGTTGGATGAGTGCTGCTGGGTTTTGGTAGAGGGCGTGCCCCATGCTCCTGGGTCCCTCTGAGTGAAAGGGGAGGAGGCAGGCCCATGCACTCACAATCAGGCCTCTCAGTCCATAGACTCCACCAGCCTGGGGCTCTCCAGCCCGTCTTTGCTGTCTCCTCCATGAGGCACACAGCACAGAGGGTAGGAAGAGCACAGATCTGGAGGAAGAAGATGAAGGTCTGCATCCAGCCCCTGTGTGGCCTTCAGCAAGTCATTTTACCGTCTCATTCTTGCATTCATTCCACAAATATTCATAGAAGATCTGCATACTGTGTATGGGTCTGGGCTCTCTGGACATAGCACCAAATAAGACCAGCAATATTCCTGAGCTCCTGGCATTTCAATCAAGTGCAAGGAACCTGGCAATAAAATGTGTATTCCCTCATCTTTAAAGTGGGGTACATGGTTTATGCCACTCAAGGTTGTGTGTGTCCCCAGAGGAACACTGGGCAAAACCACTGGCAGCACATCCTGCTGAATCTGCCTCTGAGCCCCTGGACATGGCATCCATCTTCCTTTCACGAACGCCCTCCTCAAGGCTGGTTTAACACTCCTCCTTGCCAAAAGGCCTGCCCAGAAAAGCCCACTTTCAATGGCTCCTTTGACCCATTTCCCAGGCCTCAAGCACTGATCTCTCACATGGTCATGTGTAGCTTGTAATTACTCCTTATTTTTATCTCTTTGGCTTTTCAGAAAGGCCTCCAGACTCCCCAGAGCAAGGACCACAATCCTAATGGCAGGGCCCTATGCACAGTGACCCTTGAGGGGTGGGGGTGGCCTTCCCTGCCAAGGGTGGCCTGGTCCTCAGCAGGCAGCTTGGCCTGGGGCACCCAGGCCTTTTCCACCAGCACCAGGCAGCGTGCACACTTACATCAGTCATGGCTTTCTTGGCCCTCTCGTCGGCCGAGCGGAATTCACTGATGAGCTCCTCGTGCTCATTGGAGATGCGCTGGACATCTGACTCCAGCTTACGCTTGACCACAAGGAGGCTTTGGTTCTGGAGGAGAAAATGAAGACATCGCCGTGACCCGGAAGTGGGCATAGCCCTTCCCGTGTCCAGGAAAGAAAAACAACCCTCTTCCGGACACATTTGCCAGGCCCCTCAACAGGCTCCCTGCTTGGGGTAGGGTCTCTCCCTGCATTTTTCTCTGGGTTTTAGAGCAGAACTCATGTCACAAGGAATCCAAGAATAATGTCATTTAGGCCTGGGGTGGGTGGCAGCTCTAGAACAATCCTGAACTCAGAGCTGGGAAAACCCAGATTCAAGCTGCAGTACTTCCACCTGTGGATAAATTCTTTACCTCTAGGTGGTCTCCACTGTTGACCACGGATAAGCCACGGAACTCTCTGGGTCACGGTTTTTCATTTGAAAAGTGAATGTCAGACTTTGGAATATTCTAGATCCCTTCCAGTTCTGAAGTTCTGTCCTCAGCTACACTGAAGATAAGGTGATCCTTAAAATTGGCTAAATCATCAGAATCTCCTGAGGAGTTTGAATTTAAAAGTTTAGATTTCTGAGTCCCACCAGAGACCCACTGGATCAGAATCTCCAAGGGAGAGTCTGGGAGTCTGTCTTTGAAAGCTCTGCACAACAGTGTGCGTGCACACATTGTGTGTGCACTGGAAATGGTTAAGATCATCTTATGTTATGGGCTTCTTGCCATAACAAGTAATGTCTGAGGTGAGGTGAGTTCTGAGGATTTCCCAAGTGGGGACACTGTCTGCCTCTAAGTTCTGAAGGGAGCCCACAGGATTTGGGCACCATCCTGGCCTTGTCCCAGTGCCCCAAGTGTGAGTCTGCATAGCACCCCCCAGGAAGCCACCATCCTACCTGGATGTTGACCTCGTTGTGCCGCTCGGTGATCTCCACCACCTCCTGTTCCAGCAGCTTGCGGGAGCGCTCGCTGCCCTCCAGGCCTGAGCGCACCTCCTCCAGTTCTGTCTGCAGCAGGCTCAGGCGCCGCTCCTGCAGGTTGTACTGCTCCCGCAGCTCCTCGTGCTGCCGAGCGTCCTCATCCATCTGGACCTGGAGGTCCTGGGGGGCAAGAGGACCCGGCCTGAGCCAACCTTTTGCGCCCTGGCATGGTGTGGGGCTGGCCAGGCCTGAGGGTGCCCTGACCTTTATGGACTGGGCTCAGCAGGGAGCTGGGGCGGGGCTGGGGAGGTGGAGGCCATAGAGGAAGAGAATGCAAGGTGTAGACCTGCCCTTGGGGAGTTCACGGTCTGGTTGAGGCCTATCTGGCCAGGGCCCAGGTGTCCAGAGGATTTGTCCAGTGGGCAGTTAGCATGAGGTCAAGGCTTTTCTGATGATAGAGCACCTGGTGTTTCCATCAGGCCCTTCTCACGGAGGCCTTCCTCCATGACCTTGACCGTCACACCCCTGCTGGCTAATCCACATCTCCCTTCTCCTGGTCCTATTATTGCTCTAGAGCACTTATCATATTTTTTCGTACTACAGTTTTACTTATTTTTTGTTTGTTGCCTATCTGCAGGGCTGTCTGTTTGTTGTGTCCATTCTTGTATCCCCTAAACCTAATACAGTGCCTAGACCGGGCAGGTCTCTTAATAACCATGTGTTGAATGCATGGATCCAGCTACAGGTGCTTGAAAGACCAGCCTGACAGGGATAAAGGAAGACTTCAACTCTATTTATGTTTATTTCTTAAGGTGAGTGGTGGGTATAGGGGTGTGTATTATGTTCTTTATTTTTCTGTGCCTGAATTCACTTTTAGTAAGTCAAAAATGACTTTAAAAACCAAGACAGGCGCAACTCTCTGTTTTCCTGTTTTCTTCCCTCTTTTTGGTGGTGGTTGGGGCCTCTCATGTATGTAGTCCCCAGGTCTCCTGCTCCCTGGACTGCCAGACTCCCCACGTTGTCACTTTCATGCCTCCATCCTAGCTGTAGACATGCATACATTTAGCTTCCTGGAAGCCTGCAGGCTTGGGGATGGCTTACTTTGTGATTATTCTTCCTTCTCCCAGATTGCTACCTTGATTTGCTGTTGCAGCCTTTTCAGTGTCTTTACAAGTTCACTGTTGTTCTTGTTGGCGTGGTCCAGCTGGATTTCCATCTCATTCAGGTCTGTCTCCATCTTCTTCTTGAGCCGAAGCGCCTCTGCCCGGCCCTTGGCCTCCGCCTCCAGGCTGGCCTGCAATGACTCAATTGCCCGCTGGTGGTTCTTCCTGCAAGTCCAAATAGAGAAGGCCTTGGCATGCTGGGCCCGCTGGTCAGGCTGTGCTAAACCTCCCTAGATAAGAGGTCTGAGAGCTTCAACATGGATATGGCCACCATATTTGAAATTAGCCGTATCTCCCCTTAAACATGTAAGTGGGGGAGTATTGTGCTTTGGGAAAAGAAACGAAGGTCAATGTTTACCACCTATCTTTTGGGATCTCAATTCATTTAACATGCAAAACAGCCTTGCTAGGAAACTGAGGCTCCACGATGACGAAAAACATGGCAGAGGTTTAGCCCACCATGGAGTCAGGATTGAAACCCAAATGCTAGCCTGTTTTTTAAATTACAAAATGTGAGCCTTGGCCATACAGGTCAGATTTATGTCTCTCTTTAAAACAGCAGTCATCGCTTGATTGTATATACTATATTTAATTTTATTGTAGTCAATGTAATGAACATTTTCATAAAGCCCTCATATAAGCTGTGCTAATCTCCTTTCACAGAAGGGGACCAGAGGAGGTAATTTAGATGTCCAAAAAATAGTTGTTTCATTGAGGGAGATAAATGGGTAGCACATAAAGATCCTGTCACCTGCCCCACGCTGTGTTCACCTCTGCTCCACCCGGAACACCTTCTGTGTGCTTGCACATTACTGGATTTGCAGCACTTTGAGATGTATTCAATTTCTAGACATGGGGAGAAGGTATCCTAACATTCTCAGAAGGGAACAAAATTTTGATTCACTTTGATTTAAAAAATAAATTCAAGAAGAACTATAAAACAGGTTGAAAAAAATTAAAGAAGATCTAAATTAATGGAAAGACATACGTCTTCATGGATAAAAAGACCTAATATTGTTAAGGTGGGATTCACTGCAATCCTTGTCAAAATCCTAGCTGACTTCTTTGCAGAAGTTGACAGGCTGATCCTAAAATTTATATAGAAATGCAAGGGACCCAGAATAACCAAAACAATCTTGAAAAAGAAGAACAAAGTAGAGGACCCACACTTCCAAATTTCAAAGCTTACTACAAAGCTACAGTAATCACAACATTGTGGGGGTGCCTGGGTGGCACCGTTGGACATCAGGGCTCTTGGTTTCATCTTAGGTCATGGTCTCAGGGTTGTGGGATTGAGCCCTATGTTGGATTCCAAGCTAGGCATGGAGTCTGCTTGAGATTCTCTCTCCCTCTCCCTCTGCCCCTTACGCTTGTGCTCTCTCTCTCTCTCTCTCTCAAATAAAAACCTTAAAAAAAAAAAAAGACATTTTGGTCCTGGCATAAGGACAGACTTATAGATCAATGAATCCAGAAATAAACCCTAGTCAATTCATTTTCAACAAGGTTGCTAAGACCATTCAATAGGGAGAGAACAGTCTTTTCAGAAAGTGATTCTGGGACAGCTGGATATCCACATGCAAAAGAATGAAGTTGGACCCCTACTTCACATCTTCTACAAAAATTAACTCACAATGGATCAAAGACCTAAATGTAAGAGCTAAAACTATAAAACTCTTAACTAATCTGGGAAACATAGGCAGAAATTTTTGTGATTAGATTAGGCAATGGGTTTTTAGATATGACACCTAAAATACAAGCTACCAAAGGGGGGGAAAAAAACCCAGATACATTGGACTTCATCAAAATTAAAAACATTTGTGCTTCAGAGGCTATCATTAAGAAAGTGATAAGGGGGGTGCCTGGGTGGCTCAGTCAGTTAGGCGTCCGAGTCTTGATTTTGACTCAGGTCATGATCTCAGGGTCCTGGGATGGAGCCCTGCATTGGGCTCCCTGCTCAGGAGGGAGTCTGCCTGAGATTCTCTCCCTCTCCCTCTGCCCCTCCCCCAGCTCGTGCACTCACTCACTCTCTCTGGAATAAATAAATCTTTAAATAAAATTAAGAAAGTTAAAAGGCAACCCACAGAATGGGAGAAAATATTTGCAAATTAAATATCTGATAAAGGAAGGGTCTAGCATTCAGAATATATAAAGAACTCCTACAACTCAACAATAAAAAGACAGCCTGGTTTTTAAAGTGGGCCAAGGACTAGAATAGACATTTCTCCAAACAAGATATGTAAGTGGCCAATAAGCACATAAAAGACGCTCAGCATCATTAGCTATAATGGAAATGCAAATCTAAACCATGGTGAGATACTACCTCATCCACTAGGATGGCTATGATAAAAAAGATAATGATAAATGTTAGAGAAGATCTGGAGATACTGCAGTCCTTAACACAGGGGATGTAAAATGGTGCAACTGCTTTGGAAAAGAATCTGACAGTTCTGGAAAAAGTTAAACATAGAGTTAATGTACGACCAGAACTAGGTATATATCCAAGAGAAATGTAAACCTAGATCCACACAAAAACTTGTATATGAATGTTCATAGTGGCATTATCCATAGTAGCCAAAAGGTGAAAACAACTCGAATGTCCATCAGCTGATGAAAAAATAAAATGTGACCTGCCAAAACAATGGAATATTATTCAGGAATAAAAAGGAATGAAATACTTCCTGACACATGCTCCAACATGGATGAAGCTGGAGAACATTCTGCTGAAAGAAGCCAGTCACAAAGAACCACATATTGTATGATTCCACTTATATGGAATATCCAGAATAGGCAAGTCCAAAGAAAGTCGTTGGCTAGATTAGTTGTTGCCTCGGGCTGGGAGTGGAGGTGGTGGGGAGATATGGGGGCATGACTGCTAAGGGATATGGGGTTTATCTTGGGGGAGGGTGATGAAATGTTCTAAAATTGTAGTGATGATTGCACAACTTAAAACCATTCAATTTTTCCCTTGCCATGGGCAAACTATATGTAAATTATATCTCAAATCTGTTGCAAACTCTCTCTCTCTGACACACACATGCACGCACCACATAGTGGCATAGCTAGATATTTAGGGTGGGGGTCAGGTTTAGCCTGATGGCTGCAGAGTCATGGGGCTTCTCTCCCCAGTGGCTCTCCTACAGCCTGTAGGAGTGATTGTGGGGGATGTTGTAAACTCAGGAAGCCACAGTGCAGGGAGATTTCAGATAGGCAGTTTAGGAAGGGTGCCAATGTGGACAGTTGCAACTGTGTTGATCTTCCCAGAATCATAACAAATCATATTTCTGTAAACCAAAACGTAGTGCTGGGTCCAAAAGTTTCTTAGAACCTCAAACAGCAACAGAGGACACTGGATTAAAAAATCTCTAAATCCAGCACTCCTTGGCACCCCAGCAAATCAATTCTTTTCCGTGATGTGGTGGATGTTCTCTAAGGGTTCATGAATGTTAATGGTGACATAGCTATGTGGTTTTGCAGGTTACAATGTACTTTGATATCTATCTACCATCTCATTTAATCCTCCCCACACCCCAGAGCCGGGATGAGGAAGCTATTATCATTCACATCTGTTAGATGGGACAATTGCACCTATCTCACGGGGGGGGGGTTCCTAATTTTTTTATTGTGGAAAAATGCTTGTTAAATGAAATTTCCTATGTTAACCATTTTTAGGTGCACAGTCCAGTGGTATTAAATATATAATGCTGTGGTGCCCTTGCCACCATCCATCCCCAGAACTCATTTCATCTTATAAGCCTGAAATCATGTCCCCATTAAACACTAACTCCCCCCCATCCTTCTTTCCCCCAGCCCCTGGCAAATACCATTCCACTTTCTGTTTCTATGACCGTGACTGCTCTAAGTACTTCCTGTAAGTGGAATCATACAGTATCTTTTTGTGACTGACTTCTTTCACTTCGTATAATGTCCTCAAGGTTCCTCTATGTTATAGCAGGTGTCAGAATTTCCTTCCTTTTTAAGGCTGAATAAAATTCCATTGTATGGGGGTGCCTGGGTGGCTCAGCCGGTTGGGCGTCCAACTCTTGATTTGGGATCAGGTCATGAGCTTGGGGTCGTGAGATCGAGCCCTGCGTTGGGCTCCACACTCAGCAAGGAGTCTTGCTTCTCTCCCTCTCCTTCTGCCCCTCCCCTAGCTCGTGCGTGCGCACACGCTCTCTCTCAAATAAATCTTTAAAAAAATTCCATTGTATGTACAGACCACATTTTGTTTATCCATTCGTCAGTGGACATTTGGGTTGCTTTCATGCTGTAGCCCTTCTGAATAATTCTATGAACACAGGTGTATAAATCTCTCTTCAAGACCCTGCTTTCAATTCTTTTGGGTAGATACCCAGAAGTAGAATTGCTGGATCATATGTTAATTCTATTTTAAATTTCATGAGGAACCTCTATACTGTTTTTCACACCATTTTACATTCCCGCCAGTGACACACAATGGTTCCAGTTTCTCTACATCCTCGCCAATGCTTGTCATCTTCTTTGTTTT